CGTGCTAACCCAAGGTGTGTGTGTGTGCAAAAATAAAAGATCTCACACGTTATACAAGCTTAAAGGCCTAAGGCTTTTTTTCATGAGATCAATTCACATTGTCAAGATATTTTCTTCAAATGTTTTTGTCACGAGTACTTTCACACAGAAAGTGAATGTTACGAGGCAAAATACGAAGGCAGCGCAGACCAGATCCACTCCTCCTATTCTCACCTTTCAAAATAAAAGCCCTGGATGTATACTCTGCATAACTGTTTACCAGAGGGAACAGAAATTCACTTCAATAAAATAGTTCAGCCCAGACAGACTGAGAGACGCTGCTCAGGGTCGGTCAATAGGATCCTGCTAGTTGGTCCTCAGCCTGCGCAATTCTTTTGAAATCTTGTATTAATAAAAAGCCTGCAACTGTTGCAAATTCGCATCCCTGCCGGTATGGAAAATATTGATGCCTAATTCCTATTGTTATTTTCGTGTTTCCATAACCTTTTTGAAACCCAAACGAGGCTCAACTTAAAATGTCGTATGTTAGCAACACGTGTGCGCTGCTGCTCTCTTTCGACATAACACAGTTATACAAGAGGGCCTCCGATTGTCTGACAATCAAACTTCCAAAGCTTAAGGTTCCTCTGGGCTGCTTTGTGTGTGTGTGTGTGTGTGTGTGTGTGTGTGTGTGTGAGAACTAAAGGTGTATTCAGGTGGGCAGCACATGTCTCTCTGATTTGAAATGTCAAGTCCTAGCAGGCGATCACCTTTATTTTAGTGCGTCAAACAAGACAACTGTCTGAACATAATCAAGGCAGCTCAAGAAGTGTTGGGGAGCACAGGGGAGGGCACTGCGCTAATGATTTGGAGTTTGGTTCACGCTGGGGCCATCATGACGTAAAGAAAAAGTCTAACAAGCACTGAAGGAAAATATCAATATTTGTGAAAGAAGATAGAATGGACCAGAATACTCAGGTGCCAAGATAATACAAAAAGAATCCAAATATCACAAAAACGTTTTTAGGCTTGGCTGAGATGAGGTTCCTCTCCACTGAGGAGGCTAAAAGCAGAGGCAGAATAAAACAGTGTCCTCATCCCTCCACTCACATTAACAAATGAAACCAACTGAAATGTAGTATTTAAATCCAGTTTTTAAATTGTTTTTCACCGTTTGAGCTTCGACTGGCGATCTTTTAATGACATCATTACTTCCCTCTTCTGCTATTGGATAATGGTTCTCCAACTGAAGAATTGGCACCACCTACTGCTTATCTCCAAGAACCAACTCCTTATAAGCACGGTAGTGGACGGAAACAAGCATTCATTCACATATTCCTTCGCAGACTTTCTCGAAATTCGGTTAAAATTTGCGATTCATTTGAATGGAAACTTAGCTAATGACCCAAAACACAGAGACAACACGGGAGTGTCTGAAGGACAACTGTTGAGAATGTCCCAGAGCAGCCAAGCCAGAGAGAGAGAGACCTGAAAATGTCCGTCCATTGACGGTCTCCACTCAAACTCGAGAGAGCTCGAGAGGATTTGCAGAGAGGAATGGCAGAAAATCCCCCAAATCCAGGTGCGCACAGCTTGTTGCGTCACATCCAAGAAGCTGGAAATGCTGCCAAAGGTGCTTCAAATAAGTACTGTGTTAAGGGTCTAAATAATAATATTTGCATTGTCATTATGGGACAGTTTGTGTAGATTGATAAGGGAAAAATACATCAAGATACTTTAGCACAAGGCTGCATGATGAAAAAATGTGGAAAAAGGGAAGGGGTCTATCGTATCACTTATCTCCCCGACCGCCTGTGTTCATCCTGACAAACTGATGGCAGCAGTCTTGCATAATGCCTCAGTCCTTTTATTAAAGATGAAGACCATGCTATGTCTCGGCCTGTTTTCTAATAACAATCCCCGACATTTGGCTCCACAGAGTAAAGAAAGAGGACATCTCTGTGAAAACAAGACTGGAAATGAGTCTTTGCCTCCTCTTATAGTTGCCTAGAGACCCTGAGTGCAACCTCTCCTGTCAGACACTGTATTACATTCATATCAGGGCGTGGCTAAACAAATCCTCAGATGAACTTATTATTATCTCAAGCTTACAATTTACAGTAGTTGGACTGATGGCGCTGCGAGTCGTTTTTTCATCGCTTGACAAAATCTATTCTATTTAATTCAATTAGATATTTAACGGTACATTATATTGTGTCATTCTGATGATACATTTCAGTTGTTTATTAAAATGTGAAGAATCACAACATTGTAAAATTGTGATCCTGTTTTTTGTTGTCAAATGACAAAGACTTGAACTGTACTGTGGGTGAGTTTGAGTTGTAACATGCCACAAGAAACCCAAATAAGTTCACTGACAACATTTAAAAAGATACTTATCCCACTCTGGGATTTAAGGACTAGATGACATTTTGTGTCACAACACACGCCAAATGGAGACAGGACATGAAAATGGGCTGCGACTAGCCTAAAGTCCCTCTGATTGTCCAATTCTACAACTACAGTGTAAAGACACAGCAGTGTACAATATTCAGACTCGGATGTAGAAAGACTAGGATCCGTTACGGCCTGTTTTTAACAAAGTGGGCTATCCCGATTTACCCAGCCATATGGTAAATATATCCAGGGGGCAGAAATGTTACCGTAGTCACACATAAAAATACTCTGAAGCAGAAGCAGTAGCGCGCTCTAAGGCGAGACACAGTGAGCCAGCGCGGTTTAAACAGCGGGGCAGCTGTAGGGAGTGAGCGAAGGCAACTGCAATAACACAAACCCTAGCAGCCAGCTCAGTCGGGACATGAATCACTCTGGACATGAGGCGACCTTTCCCTGACATATGCTGGTATCAGTGATTGAGAACTGAGAGGATGACTCAACCTGCCCGGTTCGTCACCACCGCGGTCAAAGAGGAGGGGGGGGGGGACCTGTGGCCGCTCTTCTGTGACGCAACCTTGACACCATTTGACCTTGGGGGAAGGGGGGGTGACCACCCGAATGAAGGGCAGCCGCCCCCCCCCCAGCTGCATGCCTCGTCCTCGTAGACATACAAGGTCAGGAGAGAGGATCGGGGGTGAGGCGTGTCACATGATTGGAGAGTTGCTTAAAAAGCCTCCTCAGCAATCAGGTCAAGGTCACGCTCTCGCCTAATGCCACAGGAAAAAAAGAGGAGTGAGTGTGTGTGTGTGGGGAGGAGTGCACAAAGGGAGACGGGGGGGCACGTACTCCTCTACATGTTCAGCAGTCCTTGCTAACTTGAAAACACAAGCTATGATTCTATTAGCCGTATTAATCTTCCTGCTTAGTGGACACTTTTATTCAAAGTCACTTACACGATTATCACTCTTGCACATCTCCCTCCGTTGCTGCCGCTGGATATTTACTGGAGGAATCCAGGTTAATTGCCTTTGCTCAAAGGCAGAGGGTGAGCAGGAGTATGAGCCAGCAATCTTCTGGTCACCAGTCCATTTTCCCAAAGTAATAGGTCATACGGCTGCCCGGAGTCATCCGCTCCGGCGCTCTCCATCTCCTCTCAAATGGCCTCTCTGCCGCTGGCCGCCTTCTAACGCGGTTATGAGGAAGCTGCACTCCCGAGCCGTGGTCTTTTCGGTCTGTTTACCCAGCTCCAGTGAGGACGCCACCTTGCTAATGGATTCACAAGTGGGGTGGCGGTTCACAAAAGGACAGTGTGTTTCAGGAAATTCCAGAAGCCTCTTTCAGGGAAAGATGGGTACCGAGTTGTGCCGAGTGTCCTCGGCCCACACTTTGTGGTGTGGGAGTGCATTTATTTTTATTTATTCAGACATTATTTAACTATGAAGACTTTTGTTGCTGAATTTTACTATGTTGTTAAAATATTTTTTTGAAAGTGCAATGAGTCTTTTATGTATTTATTGACAAATTGGAAATGGAGTGAACGGTTTCTGTAAGCCAGCACAAGGCCGGTCTTCATGCACCTTAGGAGACAGTCTCTTTGGGCCAATAACCTACCGGTTTGCTTGGAGTAACACAAAATGAGGTATTTCAGGAGAGATTCAGTGATTGGAAACTAATGTGCTGCAGATCTATCTGAACTCGCACTGCTCCGACTCTCCACGGCCACCCGCACAGGTCCCTTGTTGCCCAGCAACCACTCAGCTCATCACCAGAAGCCAAAAAGTTACACAATTACAGTTCTAAGCCAAAAGGATTGTGGGGGGGGGTATCATCGTTCGTCACATTATATCCAGCTTCTATCTGATGTGGGTGTGAATGACTGAGGAAGAGGGGGAACCCTAGCTCCTGTGTTCTCCACCCATCTTGCAGAGCCAAGCAATGTGACAGAGTGAAAATAAGCCAAATATTGACAGTAGAATGCTGTACCAGGAACTGAATTGCTGGCAGCGTAAGAGAGCAGCTCTCGGATACAAAGTTTAACGATCAATTCCCCCGAACCTCACCTGTTTTGCAACGGAAATAAATCCACCACCTCGTGGCATGTACCGCATATACTGCTCCCCCCTCCCCCCCTGTGCAATATATCCATCATTCATTCATAAATTCTGAAAACTCCTCTTTAGCTAATTGCATGGGAAAATTTAATTTCAAACGAAAGCTTTTAAAAGAGAAAGATATAATTAAGTTGCAGGGATCTCTCTGGCCCCTCCTTGCCCAGGAGGGCCCGGGTGGAGTGGGGGCGCTGCGATCCGAGCAGCGCTGCACCACACTGCTCCGTGTCAGGGAAGTCATACACCCATGTTTAAAGCAGAGCGTTACGTAAAGCCTCCCCCTCTGCACAGGCTTACTGCACCAGACGCTGTGTCCTTGCCTGGGCTGCTCAAGGTTCCCAAAAGGACAGGCTGCTAAGAAGTTGGGAAGGACAGGGCCCTGTGATAGCCTGCAAAGAGGGAGGGAGGGAGGGAGGGGAGGCAGGGATCTGCTGCCTGTGACAGCTTTGGACTTTGAATTCAGCGCCAGACAGGCTCATGCATCAATCCCTCAACTTACAAAGACAAGCCACTAACCTTGACGAGGCCAGGGACTCTTCAGGAATGAGTGGCATTTTCACTTAGCCCCTGCTTCTCCCCAGCACTCCCGCCACATAACCTGGTTAAAATAAGACACAGTTGAGTAACAGCCGGCCTCACTCCCTGGACTTTGTGACCCGGTGTTCTAGCCCTCAAACCCTTAGGCCTCTTAGGGCATGTCAGGGACATATGCATTAATACACAAATAGCGCGGGGAGCATCGGCCTTGTCCAATGCCTGTTAGGAGCAGCTTGGTTTGAGCGAGGCATGACGCAAGACCCTCCAGATCAACAACTGTTTTATCACAGACTTAGTTACCAACATTCTCCGACAGTTGCAGACGAAAATCTACGAGCACGCGGACAAGTATCTGCAGTCTTTCTCCACTGTGAGGAAACAGGGCAGACGCCCTCCATCACATGTTCACACAGGCTGGGTATTCCTCTTATCTGCCCCCCACCCACTCTGTCACGCCTGCGACATTGGTCTGCTCGTGACAAAAGCAGAGACCTTCCCTATCCGTCTGACTGCAGCATCCTGGCAAGCACGCTCACCACAATGGTAGAGTATACCTTCCTGCTGCACCTCTACAGCCCCAGGGCAGCAGCGCTGCTACAGGAGCAAGAGAGGCAGAGAGGCACAGAGGGAGTGAGTGCCACATCAGCCCAGTAAAAAGAGTCAGCTCCTCTCACGTCACCCAGGAGGCCTGCTCCTACATGCTACATCTCCTCAGTCTTTACTGAACCTATCAGGAGGGGAGGGACAGCAGAGAGTCGCCGTTAGCTCAGTAGCCACCGTGACAAGGTAGCTTGATGCCGTTTGTCTCTCTGCTCCGCCTCATTGATCGGCACACTTAGGCTTCCACAGCTGTTGTTTACCAAACGGGCCGATACTTCATGTGGGTAAATTCATTTGACCCATTCGCTCTCTCTCTCTTCCGTTCTCCCTCCCCTTTCGGTGAGCAATTTCTGCAAAGTCTAAATAATTCACGGCAATTGCAATCAGCAGCGATCAATCGGTGGGGATAATTGAGGGGCCCTGTCATTGCGCCAAGGCCAAGGTGAAGCGTGAAGGCAGAGGGGTGGAGAGTTGGAGTTGAGGGTGAAGTGGGATGAGGGGGGGTGGGTGGGGGGGGAGGAGACGATGTCATTCAACAGATGAGCTCTGGCTAGTGTAGCTCTCAGGCGTTGCAGCGGAGGCGGCCATCTTTCTTCCCCTCTAGCATTTTGTCATTCAGCGTCCAGGAGCGATGGCAGCGAAGACGCATTTAGCGGTTCCTGCCTCGTCATCAAAGTGAGGCCCATTGACTTTGGCTGCCTTCCGTTCATGACAGAAGTACCAACAGGAGCCCGGAGTAATCGTCTCCGAATGAGATAGTGCTGCTATAACTAAGAGCCTTTACTAAAACAAAACTCTTGGATTTCAGAAAGCAGAAATGACTTCAGTCATTTTATGCCTTGCTTTCTGACACCGCGGCCTCTTTCTTTGGGTATTCTAGTGGCAGAATATTCAGAGAAAGAAAATACATAATCAGTAAACAGCAAGTCTCCACGTGTCTCTTAATACATCTGCCTTACTGATTTAACACTAGGATAGTGCACTGTCCACAATGAACGTGATCGACGACATTGATGTTAAGAAAGCTCCACTCGTAGAAAGCTCTGCTGTGTATCAAATCAAGCGCTTCCTTAACTAGCAGCCATCCAGAAGTTTTCGCTCCACTTTTGAGGAGCCGTCATGCCGCTGCACACGCACTCTACGGCAGCAGCCTATGAGAACTTTACTGAATAACTATTCTACTCTGCAGTCCAGAGAAGAAGAATAATGTACTGAATATTACTCTGCGGAAAGTACACAGAATTCAGGATTTAATGCAAAGATGTATTCATCAGCAGGAACGTAGAACAGCGTGAAAGTGAAAGCACTGTTCTGTTGATTCAAATGTGAAAGTGCCATACAAATATGTTGTCCCTAAAACCAATGAATAATCGTGATAAATAAATCCTGATCAAAAATAATCGTGATTATCACTTTGGCCATAATTGTGCAGCCCTAATATTCATTTTTTATTCAGTTGTTACATCAATCTGTTTACACTTTCCAGCTCTTCGTCATATCCATTCCAAAACATTTTCCATTCAAATTGTATGCAGCCTGGCCCTGTGGTGTGTACGATGCTGTAGTCTGTAATACACTGGTGTGAGATAAGCAGCGAGGAGGAGCTGGAGGCACAGAGAAGAGTCAATACTGAAAACCGATCATTTCAAACACCCTGATCGGTCCTCACTCACTAATCTCATATTGGCTCTTTCTCTCATCAATTTAAGATAAATGCTTTAGTCCAAGTTTGAAATTCACAACATAACTGCCGCGGCATAAATCTCCTCCCAATATCAGCAGCAGCACTGAGATCTGTTATTAGTTGAGTGTCTACTGAATAAACAAACAATAAAGGAGAACAATAATTTGGCTTAATGGACGCTCCACACTAAAATGATAGAGCCCGAAACAATTAGAGAAATGAGCTTGTGGCCAAAGGGGGGGTCTCCGGTTTGAATCCTCCGTGGGCTGACAAAGTGCGGGCCGTGAGTAAGTAGATGAGAAATGCTTCTCCTCCTCAACATCTACTGTCAAAGTGCCCTTGAACAATGTTCGGTGGCCAACAACACAAGTGCTGGGCAGCTCCCAGGTCTATAATAAATCAAAAAGCCTGCAGTAAATGCATGACACTTGTTCTGGTAGATTGCACATTAGGTTTTTTTCGGTTTGCAGACTGTATCTCAGCAATCAAAAGCGAGATGCCACCCAGAGTTTTGTCAGCCATGTGCATGTCTCATGCTATTGTGTGACTGACAGATTTACAGACAGCGGGGTGTGGAGCTGGCACAGTGGTAGTGGTTAGAGAGGCTGTTAGTGGAGATAAGTGGCCGGGCAGGTACTCCTCCTGTATCTGTGGCATCATCCTGTATAAAAAATACATTACATCAAATGACTGAAACAAGGGGAGAGGAAAGTCACCAAGTGACAACAAGCACTGTGATGCGGTAGCTACTTTTTTATGCTGTACTGACACATATTATCGATAAAACACAAAAGATGTGCAGAATACAGCTGCATAACACAATTACACACGCACGCCTAAACACGCCACTCTTCTGCAGCAGCAGCCGCGCTTTGATGGCAGATAAGATTTGCTGTCACGAAAGGCAGCGGATGAGAGAGTGGAGCAGCAGAGTCCGGTCTTGTGACTGCTCAGCAGCCTCCACATCATTTGCATTCGGCCATTTGAATGTCCTCTGGTTCTGTTGCAGGCTACTGCACATCACTCAACAGCAGCTCCCTGGACAATAGCAGATGGCCCAGTCAAATCGAGCTGCATCCAACACAGACGCTCCTTTTGAGTTACTGGTCAGACACAGACACAGACACACACACACACACACACTGGTTCTTCTTAAAGTGCTACTTAAAAAAGTCGGGCTATAAATGTGCAGGTTTGAGTTATCTGTGGCAAAAGAGGACACGCTGAACTACCTTGAACATCTTGTGTAAGTTCAGGTCAAATAATTAAGCAGCTTAAATGCTCAACAAAAGGAGGGCTAAAAGGCAGACCTCCAGACACAGACAGCATTTAGTAGGCTTTACAAAAAGTTTGACTTCTCTCCACCTTACTTTTAGATTGTCGGGTCTGAAGTTACAGCAGCTCTGTGAAAGTGTAGCACAGAACAGAGAGCTTTTTGTTTTTCCTCATCCTCCCATTACGACATCCAAACAGGTCTGCCGCTTGAAGCTGAATTGCCCTTTTGGAACGTGAACTGAAGTTCTCTGCCCTCTTTCCTGTAACTCGTGGCAAACATCAGCCCTTGACCTTTCGCCTCCTCGCCGATCCAAAGTCCAATGAAGCAACAGGACATTTCAGGAGAAATGAACACCTACACAAAACGCCATTCAAAAAAAAAGAAAAACTCTCACTGGTAGTTACTGAAAAAAAAACATCCAAGTCTTTTGAACTCTATCAAAACATATCTGACATGATGGCGCAGCGATGTTGACAGGCTGCAACAGACCGACTGCATTTTGGCCTCATATCCTTCCAAACATCTGAAGGGACCTGCCAGTGGTTACAGACCGTTTCTCTTTGAAGGATTTGGAAGCAATGCAAAACAAAATGAGCATCATTAATAAGCCAAGATCATGGCTGTTTATGATGCATTCAAAAAGGAAAATGTTGTAGCAACAGACAGAGAGACATTGCTTTGTTACATTTTTAACTACCTTGGCCTACACTGTATTTACTGTACGTGCTCGGGAGATTAGGGCCATTGTCACCGACTTCCCCCTGAGTGGCACTGCAAAGTCTAATTCAGAAAATGACACTGCAGGGGCATATACATATACTCAAGGTACATTTAAGACTCTTTCAGACAATACAATTTATACCCTCCCCAAAAAAAAGCTCCAAGTGAACTATGAGTCTGTCATGGGGGAGATTTTTCATTAGGCAGCCTAATATATCCAAGACATAGCTATCATTTAGCCCCACAAACCACATTCATGACTCCAGCTCAACACAGAACTACACGCAAGGCCTAGACGTTCATTCAAAACCCTTTGAGAATTGTATTTATTTATTTATTTTATTAAAGGAGCAGGACCTGCCAATGGTCATTTACAGAACAGTGCAGCTGTGAAGTGTTTCCCATTGGTGGTGCTAAAACTACTCCACACATAGACGTTTTGACCCAGTGTGACATAAACGGTACTAACGTTACATTACTGCTACATTACTGTTACATTGTGACATGGTACGGCCTTATGGTGTGTTGTTCACCACAAATTAGCTCGTGTGGCGGTTTAATTCATTCTGCGATCAGCGTGACAGTAGCGTTACAGAAGCCTATAAATACACTTTCATTCGATTCCGCTACGGTCGGTCCGTATACGGAACATGAACTACAATTGACATTCATTTCCTCGGCTGTATTCTCACAGATAAATCCTCTAATGTAGGCCTAATTTACTGGTCAGATGGCGGCCAGGAAACACGGACAGTGGCTGTTCTGACTAAGCGACTCCGTGGGCTAAAACCCGCACACAGCCTGGTCCATTTTCCGCGTCTTTATGCAGCGGTTTTTTTCAGCGCGACATCCATATGCGGCTCTGTGCCGCCGTACGACACGCAAACAGCCCCCTCCTAGCCTCGAATAAATACGCTACCGTCTCGTACAATCCTCGACATCGCGTCCTGTGTATTATTCCACCCTCCCGGTGCTAACAGTAATTCTTCAGATATGACAGTGGTTTATATGTTAGCACGTAAAGAGCCCATACCTGCGCTGTCCACCCCGCAGTCAGCCGGAGAGGCGCATCGTTGTTATTCGACAGGAGGAGGCAAATCCAATGAAAAACGGTCGCGTCCGTCTTGACACTTCAGGCGGGGGAACAAAGATGGCGAGGCAGGCTTTTAAAAAACAAAATTGTTAGTCCAAAAAGATGCCTCGGTGTTTGTGTGTGTACGTGTGTGTGCGTGTGTGTGTGTGTGCTGCGACTGCGAGCCGAGGCGTGTAGCGTGTAGTCTGTGGGAATTGTTTATTCTCGGAGTCCCTAGCTGTGGACAAGTGAGCGGAGACAGACACACTCCTCCTCCTCTGCTGCCGCTGACACCACCCTTAAAGGAACAAGCCTACACCCACTCACTGCCACCGCACACAGTCATAATGATATCTATAGTCTAACGGTAATAACAATATCACAATAACACTAATCACAACAATAGTCTAATAATGGTAATAACAATATCACAATAACACTAATAACAATAGTCTAATAATAACAATAACAATATCACAATAACACAAATAACAACACTAGCCTAATAATGGTAATAACAATATCACAATAACACTAATCACAACAATAGTCTAATAATGGTAATAACAATATCACAATAATACAAATAACAACAATAGTCGAATAATGGTAATAACAATATCACAATAACAACAATAGTCTAATAATAATAACAATAGTCTAATAATAATAATGATAGCAGTCATAATAATAACAATAGTAATAATAATATCACAACAACACTAATAACAACAAAAGTATAATAATGGTAATAATAATATCACAATAACACAAATAATAATAATGCAGATAATAATCTGCATTAAAGGGCAGATTATGCTTATTTTTTATGTTCATTTAGTTGTTATTACCAGAACTATTTTTGTACTTTTTAATTGTAACTGAATTGTTTTATATTGTTAATGGGACTTGTTCCACTTGTAGCAGAAACTATCACCAGGGACAGTACTGTTAGTATTAGTGAAAGGAGCATCAGTCACATTAACAGTCAGTAACAGTGGCAGTAGCATCTGTAACAGCAGCAGCAGTATTCTGTATCTTAGCACTTTTTTGTGAAACACAACAATCTCCAAAAAGTGCTTCACAGTAAATATCAGCAGGACAAAGAGTCAAGGCAATTTTAAAAGTTCAGGGGTTTAGAGAATAACTTAAAGGGGCACTCCACCAATTCCACACATACAGTTCAATATACCTGTCAGGGGGAGTACATACCCCCCTGCCTGTGAAAACAGTTGTATAATGTCTCCTGTGGCTCTGGAGGAACTTTCTTTTTATTTGTTGCAGATTGCAACCAACTGAATACCCCTCCACTCACTCATTCCATGACTGTGGTAACGTGAGCTGCTGAATGCAAAATCGTGGTAATGTCGCTCTCCTCGCTCAGAGGCCATCCATACCATAATAACACTTCTTCAGAAGCAACGGTAGTCAGATGCTAGCTAGCAGCACCACGGTTTTGCACTCTGGCTCATGTTATCACAGTTTCCTAAGCGTGTAGGAGAACTACAGTGGCCTTCAGGTAATGTAACAACACACAAGGCTCTCTCTGTAACCAGTTTGGTTTGTCCGTTCTGGGCTACTGTAGAAACATGGCGGTGCAACATAGTGGACTCCGGGAAGAGGCCCTGCTCCCTATATACTGTAGATATGAAGGGCTCATTCTGAGCTAACAAAAAACACAACGATTCTCAGTGTCAGGTGATTATACACCAATGAAGACATAGCTGTTAACATTATATTCCATTTCTGCTAATAGATCCCTCTAAATGCTACATACCGGCCCTTTAAATCTGAAAAAAATAAAATAACCGTGATGACATCATCAGGCGCAGGACAGGTCTGGTCTCAGAGAATATCTTTTCAAACAGAACGCCTGGGTTACACAGCGGCGTGGAGTTCAAAACACTGTAAGCATTTTGCAGGGGAAGTTTGAAAGAAAGATGCTATTAAGTTGCATTATGGGAAATGTAGGATGTTTGTGTAGCTTGACCCATAGTACAGACTAAAGATGGAAATATCTCGGCCTCAGCTGCATCTGTTTTGACCAGTTGATTTATTAATGTGACTCTCATAACTGTCCGCACCTCGTGGCGGTGTAATACTGAATCACTAACTAGGCTCAAATGTAACATTTTAACATTTAATGTGACATGTTTTAATGGACGGTCATCTCAAACACACTTTATATATATATATATATATATATATATATATATGTTGTTGGAATTTACATAATTTATTATACCACAGTTAGAACCTTTGCACACAGTCCCAACATGTTTTTATTTTATAATGACCAAATACCAATTAATAGGCAGCCTGAAGCCAAAAACCTTAATGGAGACCACACAGTAATTCATAACCTATCCCCTTAGAACAGCAGATTATTAAAATGTCTTTTCTGTTAAATGAAGAATTAAGTAAGAAGCGGCCCCAACCAACCTTTTAGCCAGCATCTCCTGAACAACTCATCGGGCCTCTCCCTGGATGACGTCCAGAATATGAGAGTTAAAAGAGTTTATCTGCCACAGCACTGGAGATTTACAACCTTCCCCCAGCACACAGTGACCAAAGCGGAGAAAGTGAAAACAGCGTCACCGCCATCGAGGTGCCCTTGAACGAGGCACCGAGGCAGCCCACAGGTGTGAACGTGTGTCACTAAAGTGTGAAGCAGGGTGTCACTCGTGCAACAGCAGATGTGCCTATGAAAGCTTAAACGTACGATTGTGTGCCAAATGCTTCTAAGTAACTTTCTTTCTGTCCGTCTTCTCTGTTAATCTGTGCTATCAGGTCCACTGGCCTGCAGTCGGTCTTCTCAACATGGCCTTGAACAAAATGTCTCTAAGGACCTGGGGAACATCAGTGTTCTCATGAATAAGAACACAACAACATAACCTACTTCTACCCATCCCTGTCTCTGCTTCCCTTTTCCAAGGGGAGGGGGGAGGGGGGGGTTTGGTCCTCCTCTTCCCCCTCCCACTGCTCTGCTATCACATCACGCTGTGTTATTGGCCGCTTCCACTCAGCCAGTTGGATACTGTGCCTCCTAACCTGCTGCAACCCCATCGTAGTGTTTAAACAGTAATTCAGTTCATTGCCAGTAGTATAAACAGAGGCGGCACTTAACATGTCAGTCAGGTAAATTGGATAGTTTTCTTTTACAAGGCTGTTGTTCACAGTAGGTGTTACCTGTGATTTGCATTTTGAGTGCGACAGCAGTTAAAAGTCCGATCAAAGTCCTCGCCAAAGTGCCGTTCATAAAAAGTTGATGTTTGCTGCTGTTTATCGGCGTCGTCTGATTGCACCACGAGTGCGGCTCGGGACATAGTTTTTGTTGTTCAGCCTTAACTCAGGCGAGCGGACCGGCTCAGCAATTTGGATGGCATCTCGCCTCGTAACCTCTTGAACTGGAGCGACCTTTCATCTTTGAACTCTGACCCCCAAATGCCACATAAATGGAGATACAATATCCTCCCTTTCATTCCTTCCCCCAACCAGAACACGCTCAACTTTGCCCCCGGGAGCTTTTCACAGAAATGTGGTTCAGGAAACTTTGTCCTTTGACCTCAAGTATACGGACAGATTGTGGCTGACAAAAAAACGTCTGAGGCCGTGTTTCAAAACATTGTGTCATGATTTGTATTTATGTATGCGGATTTGAACACACTCTGTGAGGAGCTGCAGAGGAGAAGGCTGGTTACGGATGTTAACCGGCTGGTTGCAGTGTGTGGCTGCTGACAAAAGGAGTGGAGGAAATGGAGAAAAAAAGCATGTCGCGTTATTAGAAGAGAAGGTTAACAAGCATTTAAATGTCATTAGGAAAACAGACTGTCGTTTTACAAGACTCTGTTTTTACAATCTTGTTAACACAGTTAACACAGTCGAAGTAACAGTGCTGGAGTGGGATTTGAGCAAAATAACCAACAGCTGTAGAGTACAGTGAACATTAACATTTCAAATTTGAGGTGTTTTATTTGGACAACTCACAAAGAGGGACTTATTCTCATGTAGAATATTGTTCCTCCAATTAAACGACTTCACACTTTGTAGCTGATTAACTAAAACAGAAGTATTTTCTGAAGCAACATAGAAAAACTAAAAGCAGAGACTTCAGTTGACAAATATTTCAAAACTATCCATCAGATTTGATATCTACGTGTCTAATAGGCTGCTGTGATAGAGCCAGCTCATCTGCGACTCACCTCTCATGTCAGCAGGAGTTCACTGAGCGGCTACTGGGGCAGATTATTATTCAAGTCTTTGGACAGGTTATGAAGATTTGATTTGCTCCCTCAATTCAAAAACAGAGGGATCTGACACCAGCCCTTTCTAAAATTGCTTCTCTATACACCTATACTGTACTGCGCTGAATGTTTTCAAAGAAAACACATGAATGCGTGGGCAAAGGTCGGCTCTGCAGTGGCGTACTCTTGGTCCAGCAGACGGAGGAGAGTTTAGAATCAGACGCCTGATTGTCTCAGAGGGAGGGAGCCGGAGTGTCAGCAGACATTAACCCTCCAGACCTTTGACCTCTACTCCCCAATTTCAGCCGCGGTGACTCCCGAGGTTTTTAGAGAGAAGGAAGGCCCTTGGGGAGGAGGCAGGTGCGAGCTGCAGTGGGAGGGCCCGCTGGAAGTCTCACCACACTGTAACCTTTGAACTGGAATGAGTATGGGATGGCTGTGACATTCCCCACGTATACAGCTGTGGGGAGGGTTCGACTGAAAGCATGTGGCGTGGCAAAAAACGTATTTGGATTCTTCGACTGATTTCGCTTGAATGACACCCTGCCGAGGACACATATTTAATTCAACAAAGTAAACAAAGGAACAAGGATGACAATCCACATTCACTTTTTCAACCAGATTTGACAAGGTCAAACTTTCGAACTTTGCCACGGAAGTGACATCTCTCACCACAGACTCGTCGCCGGCCCTTGTCATGAGCGGGTTACTCATTAACGAGTGAAACTGTCTTTATTGGCGCAACAAACTGTGTACGGAGACAGAAAATGCGTGACCTCTGTTCAAAATAAACAGACGGGTGTGATTATGACTAGATTACAGCAGACATGCTAAACAGCCATCTCGGTCGCCTCTGTAAATATTCCACTTTTGTCCTTGAAGTGTGTCGGGGAGATGAAACTATGTCTGATAGACAAGATACATAATTCCTGCGCTAAGAGAGGAGATACATGAAAAGTCACAGTTGCCAGAGTCAGAAAAAGGTGTGCCAAACTACTGATTCAGTCTGATGACCCCGTCTCACATTATCCTCTCATCAGAC